CCCCCTCCCTCCCGTCCATGCTCTTACTAGACAAGCATGTTGTTCTGAAACTGCATATGTTTGGAAGGTGTCTGGCGTGGGTTGCGCTGGGGAGATTTTTCTTTTCTTACCTCAAACTCAGCCCTTCAGTTTATCAGGCACAACATAAAAAGGATTATTTTTCTTCTTTTGCTTCACTTAAATTGGGTGAAGCAGGTCAGCATTGCCTCTGAACCCAGCTCTCCTGCACTTGTAATACTAAAAGGGAAGCGGGATCATAGCTTTTAGCTGGGAGGTGGCCATCTTGTGCCGCAGTGAAAGGATTATTGGCTAGATCTTGTACTTTTGCATATTTAAGTACTGAACTGTGAATATATGCAGTACTGAAGCTTAGTTAGGGTCCTATTTGACTTCCCTTATTCTTCTCAGAAGAATAAGGCTTGTTTCCTCAGAGCTGAGGTTTGCAGCAGCATGTGGGGAAGGCTGGTATTTCAGTGCTGTGCATTTCAAGAAAAGCTTGTTTAAGCTTCCTAAGTCAGTGAGAACCAGTCTGTTCTCTTCTTGAGCTCATCTTCCCAGGAAAACTGAGCTTTAATCTTCGGTGGATCTGACACAAAGGTTACTGGGTTGGAGCATGGAGAAATAACTGAAGCAACCAAGAAGGGTTTTGGGTGAGTGCTCTCTGGCCCTTAGAGATGCTTCTGCTTGCCCCATCCCTGGCAGTGTTCAAGGCCAGGCTGGATGAGGCTTTGAGCAACCTGCTTTAGTGGAAGGTGTCCCTGCCCGTGGCTGGGGGTTGGAACCTGTTTCTCCTGGTGGAAGAAATAAATCTCAGGGCTGCTTTGAACCAGCGCCTTTTGAACTAGAAGAAAAGATGTTGCTTCTCAAATGGGGAATATGAATGCTTCAGTCTGGGGGAGGGAAGCAAGTCCTACCTTTGTACTTCACTTGTATGCATAAAACTTTCTTTAAAACTCTGCTACCAGATCTTTGCTTTCCCGTAAGTATTTTTTTGCTGTCTTAGTTTGGACAATTAGGCTATGCACAGTGAGCTCATCATGGTTTTGCAGTATCAACGTAAATGCTACTACTCCTGTGCCATTTATGTTCTGTAGAACTAAAACAGCATTGTGTCTGAAGTACCTGTTATTTCAGTCTTTTTGGTACTTGGATGTTGTCACTCCTCTTACGGAGTTTCTAAAATTTCCTACTGCTTTTGTCAAATTGTTTCTTACAGTGCAAACTGCTTGACAGTATGGTAGTTTCTAGAAGTTTACACTCTTATGTATGTTGAATGCATGATAGCAGCAGTGAACTGACTTTTTTTTTTTTTTCTTTTCAGTCAGATAATGAAATCTCTTCAGACTGCAATCACGTAAGTCTTGTTTTGGTTTATTCAGTCTTTAGCTATGACATTTGTACCTTTATATCCCTTCTCAACCGTAGGTATTTTGCATAGTTTGGTAGTTTGTAAGAATCAAAACACATTTGGGTTTCTGTATTGGCCCATGAGGGAAGAACAGAAAGTGATTTCTTTAACTGGGTATAGCCATTATGGTCTTACTGCAGAATTCAGAGTGGCACATAATTAAGAGCTTTATGTGCTGTACTTCTGTATCAGAGGAGGATAGCAGACTTCTTTCCTATTTTATAGTTGGGGGTGGTTCCTGTGAGTTACTGGGAGCAATATGATGTGCTTCTTTTGGGAAAGATGTGAGCAGGGCTGAATTTAAGCTCTTCATTTCAGCTGTCGAAGCCTTCTGTATTACTTTCACAGCTGCTAAATTCTTAGACTTGCTTGGAAAATGCTGTGGGGGGTGTGATATTTAGAGGCAGTTTGAACCACTTGGCTGGTTTTAGAACAGATTTCCTCTCAGTGCTGTGTTTAACAGTGAGCAAACTGTTAGCCAGTTTTCAGGCTGTTGAGCTGACTCTTCAAATCCCAAGACTCCACCCCTTCCCCCCCCCCCGCAATCGTCAGAGCTGAGATTGATACTAGCTTTCTGTTGGCTTTTCTCATTCACGTGCTGTTAGAATACACCATGTGAAGCCCCTTAATTATTTGGTTGGCCCTGGACACGAGACAATTGCATTGCTTTAGTGATGGACGTGGTTTTGGATGCTGCAGAAGCTGTAGTTTAATTTATAATTGGAAGATACAGTCCAGAAATGAAACCTAGCCATGCTGTACAGCTAGTAATTGCTAACTGTCTTTATAAATTAACCTTCAGCACTGTGCTGCCTGACTTCACTGGCAGCTGTAATTCCATTGTGCAGGGTTGAGTCAGGTGGAGGGCACATCACATTGCTGTTTATCTTTTTCTTGAAAAAGAGAAAACTCCAGTAATTAAAACCTATCTACCTGACATCTAAACATGCCACCAGAAATTATATGAATGAAGGAGAAACTGAGAATTCTAGAAATAACAGTTTGACCTTTCTTCTGCTGGATTAAATGACAGCTCCCTGCCACAAGGCAGGCGTCAGGCTGCTGTGGATTACAGAAGCCATTCACAGATAGGAGGTTTGGGCAAAATCTCATTTTCCCAGGCAGGAATTGAAGGGGAGTGATCAAAAGCTAGACCACAGAGGGACATGTCTCATGTCCAGATGTTTTCTTTGCCTCTCTGTCGTCTTTGCTAGTACAACTGCTGATAATCTGGGAAAATGCTGCCTAGTGCTAAAAGCAGGATTTTTAAGCTGCAAGATTAACCTTCCTCTGCCTGTGGGAAGATTCCCTTGGAAAGCATCTCATTTAAGATTCTCCAAAATTTGGGATTACAAATACAGAGGTGTGTTCTTATGTTGTTGGACTTCATTCTTGTCCTTCTGATCCTAGCAGGGAGATCCTGGCTGATCCTGCAGCACTCTTTGTGAGGACAGGTTCCTTGTTTATTCCTTTTTATCTATTAAACCTGTATATTTATAACTTATTCCCTCTAAAATAACCTAGTTTCCCATCATCTCCCTTTTTAACTACTCATAACTCCAAAACCGTGATGCAAGGTGTCGTAGATGGTGCGATTGCACTGACTCAGTTTCTAGTTCTATGTCTGCTGCCACGCTCTCGGAGATGATGTAAAACTGCTTTCCTTGCTACAGGCATGTATTTGTGTTTTCCTAGCGTCTTGTGTACAATTGAAACCTCAAAATAACAGGTTGCCCTAATTGTTTATCTTTTTGATAGTATTTTGATTCTGTCACAAAGGCAGAGTATTCAAAATGGATTTTTAAAGCTACTTAATCTTTGTGTTAATGAAAAAATTATCTTTAAAGACCCTTCCAACCCTAACCATTCTATGATTTCTATGATAAATGCAACTGAAGTTCCTAGGGGAAAAAAAACCCTACATGAGCTAATAGACTTCTCTCTGGCAACATCTCAGCTATTAATTTGCTGAGGTTTTGCTGCCTTACTCTGTATTTTTACTTTATGGTGCCTCAGGAGGACATCTGGGATGTGTATATATCTGCAGCGTGTGACTTGCCCAAGATAGATTCTTGCACAATGACCCAGTGCATCAAGGCTTCTGTGTGAGCTAATCTCTGAATCTTAGCAGTCACCCTTATCAAGGTGTTACATTAGAAGTTAGACTGTGAATCATTAAACAAAAGAGGGATGGGTTTGAAATATATCTGCATCCAAAAAGTTGTCTGGTCACATCCCATCACAGAAGGAACCAGCTGCATTGTCTCCTTCCTTTTTTGCTAGGTTTTTACTAGATTTTCAATATGAAATCTGCTCATGTTGAAGCTTTATTCTTGTTAGATCGTTTGCATCAGGCAGACAAGCCATGATGCAGAAAAGGGTGGTGGGCTAAAGACATTGTTAAATATGCAGCAGGTAGGAAGTTAGAGCTTTCATTGTTTCATCCTTTCAGTTATGGAATTGTCTTCGTTAGATATGCTTGTTTTTAATGAGTCAGCTCATGATCTTATGGTGGGATTTCAAACAGCCTGAATTTGTTCAGTATGAGAAAATGATTGCAGAAATGAAGGGACAGAGGTGTTGTCAAGGAGACTTTTCATTGATTGTTGAACTGTAGAAGGATGACAGTACAGATTGGGAATAAATGATGTTTCATTCTTTTCTGAAGCAAACATATTTGTCATTCTCCGTGGGAAGGTCTTAAATCCCCTCTCTACAAATGCTCTCTCTATAGCTCTTGTGGAACTACAAGCTGAACCTCACTACAGATCCGAAGTTTGAATCTGTGGCCAGGGAAGTCTGCAAGTCCACTATTGCAGAGGTAAGCCAGAAGAAAGGCATGGCTGCTAAGGCTTTTTCCATTTATTTGTGATAGTGAATTAATGTGCAAATAACATCTAGAGTCTCGGGAAGCTCTAGTCCTATATCCCAAATTTCTAAGTGATTTAATTTGACCTCCTTGTGGAAAAAGCCACAAACCTTAATGGTTCCAGCCAAAGGGGGGTGGGGAGGAAATGGTAAACAAACAACCCATCAGCTCTTACCTGACCTTTTGTCAGAAATCTGTTGTGGTTTGAATTTGTCCCCACTTTATCAAGTGTAACAGTGTTGGTGTAGTAGGGGCTCTGCTGAGTTTAGCATAAGGCTGGGTCTGGATTGTGTCTTGCTAGCAGAAAGCATAAGTACATAGGTGTCAGTCAGTCGACTTCAATTTTACCTTTGAGGCTCAAAGATTAATTACTCCAAGGACTCTGTTAGGAACTTCCTCTTTTTAGATTGTGCTAGGAGTTAGTCCTCTATCTCAAGCATCAACACACCTCAGCCCAGCTTCAGAGATTACTTGATTAATCATTTCTTTCCTTGGGCTCATGCTAGAGCTGTCAAGGCTGTGCTCTCAGCCATGCTGAGGACCTAAGGTGAGGTCTTTTCCCTCTGGTTGGGGTAGTTTTCAGCTAGACTTGAAGGAAGCAGTGGAACTAAGGCTCTCCCCAACAGGGCTTCAGCTCGCTCAACTTGTTCTTTAAACCCTATTCTCAAAATGTTACTTATACATACATCAGAATAACTTTACCTACCCATAAACTTGCCTTTTAGTAAAAGTTGTATTTGCTGTAGTTGATGGCTGTACTGTGGTGTTTTAAAGTAGGTTTTCCTGAAAGAGGATCAGTTGCATGAATAAGCAGATTGTCTCACCAACCCCAGTTCATGTTGACAGTTTGTTTTCCATAGGTCTAGCTTTCTTGCAGACTTGCTTAGATATGAGGAATGTGTCAGTGCTCAGAGTAGGTTTAAGATGAGTAGTTACCCAAGTCTTCATGCTTTGATGGAATCACTTACATGGTTCCCTATTCTTCACAATGGGTCTCTTATGCAGACAGGCTGAGAGAGCTGGATTTGTTCAGCCTGGAGAAGAGAAGGCTCCAGGGAGGCCTTAGAGCAGCTCCAGTGCTTAAAGAGGCTACAAGAAACCTAGAGAGGGGCTTTTGAAAAGGGCCCTCAGGTGCAGAACAAGGGCGAATGGCTTTAAACTGACACGAGATTGAGATGAGGTATCAGGAAGAAGTTCTTCCCTGTGAGGGTGCTGAGGTGCTGGCACAGGTTGCCCAGAGATGCTGTGGCTGCCCCATCCCTGGCAGTGTTCAAGGCCAGGTTGGATGGGGCTTGGAGCAACCTGTGGAAGATGTCCCTGCTTATGGCAAGGGGTTGGAACTGAATGAGCTTGAAGGTCCCTTCCAACCCAAACCATTCTATGATGTTAATGATACAGAGTTTTCATTTGAGAGGAATGCATAAGGATCTGAGAAATCGAGGGTGTCAACAGCAGCCTGACTCCACAATTTGGGAATTGGTTGTACAGTCTTTTTCTTCATGGCTTGCTAGGGTTCTGCTTCCTCTTCTCAGCACGAACTCAGCTGCTGTAAGAACAGCACTAGTGGGAAATGATGCTTTAATATAAGGAGCGATCAAGAAAATGGTTAGTATAGGAAGGCTAGAAGATCAAACAATGGCAGGGAATCAGCTTGCATCAAAGTGTTATGTTGTGTGGAGTTTGGTAGCTCCCAAACAAAAACACTGCCAAATCTGTTGAATCCCACTTTTCTACAGTCACAAGAGAGATTGTATCTCTTTTGTTTTTGTCATATGGCTGCTGCAGAATTTTTACAACCAAGGCATTCTTGCAGATACTCTTTTAACAGTCTGTTTAATTACCAGTCTTAAACAGTGACAGTCTGGCATTGCTGTAAATGATGCCCTCTAAATCTGGGACGTGATGTCTAAAAACAGTGGGAGAAGTATATAGAATTTTAGCTGTACATTAACCACCATGTTTCTCTTAAAATTGTGCTGAATGATGACATGAACTGCTGATATTTGACCATTTGCTGAGTGGCTTTTGGTTAACAGAAGTTGGGTAAGGAACAATAATTCCAGGTGTTTGCTCTTCTGATGTTTATACTGAAGCAGGTGCATAAACCATCCCACCAATTTTTTAAAGATATTTCTACAACACTCTTTAAGATTCATCCTGGGCATATACTGTTAACATATAGTGTTAGCCTATTAATATTATGCTTTAATTCCCACTAACAGGTAGGTGTTTTCTTGCAGGGTGACTAAGCTCTGATTTTTAAGTACTGCTTTGTATTAAGTAATTTCTAGTGAAAGTCACTTGGGAATTGGTGACTGCCCCAACTGGGTATGTTCTGGAAAGTGCACCTTTAATTTAATCAGCGAAACACAGATTTAAATTTCAACCTTTGTTCCTCAACTTTGATTTTTATAAGTTCTGGCTGTAGTTTTAATCTAGAATTGTAGTTGGCTACCAGATAATGGCAGTTGCCTCAGAAGTGGCCAGGCAATAATGTGATCACTTGGTTTTTTACGCAGTTCACTAGCTCAGGCCATGGAGCTCTGAAGCTGTTTCCAAAGCCAGACTCTTCCAAGACCAGCATGTTGCTGTTGTGCTGGTTTGGCTCACGATGCTTGAGCTGAAGTAGGGCCAAACCCAAGATGCAGCTTTCTCAGAGCTTGCTCAACTCTCTCCCTTTCACTGTGCAGTGACACACGTGTTTTCACTTCGTAACATATTTTATGCCTCATCTAGAACAACTACATTGACCGTAGAAACTATGTTTTCTTAGTAGTTATATAGGTTAAATATAAGATCTTCTACCAGTCTACAGGGCTTTCAAATAATGATGTTTAAAATGCTGGGTGTTTTGTTTGTAACGCAGAAAGTAATGGCCTCGTAAAGGCCAGGCTGGATGCAGGTTGGAGCAACCTGGTCTGGTGGAATGTGTCCCTGCCTGTGGCAGGGGGTTGGAACTGGATGAGCTTTAAAGGTTCCTTCCAACCCAAAACAGTCTGTGATTCTATGATAATCTGAGGCAGAGAGATCTGTTTAGTTCATCTGGTCAGGCCTGTATGAATCTGCCACAGGATGTTCTGAGTTAATTCTTGTTTGAATTAGAATAGATCTTTCTAGAGATGGCTCTCTAGGTTTTTAAAGTTTTCCAGTATAAAGATTCCAACTAGGCATTGGAGAACTGGTAAAATGGTTTCCTGCCTGTTCCCTTAGTGCTGCCCTTGCTTGATACCTGAACCCAGCTGGATTATTGATTGCCATGGATCTCCGTTTAGACAGATGAGCCCTTCAGTATTTGTAAAGGAACAAGTCTTTGATGTAATCAAGCCAATCCACGTATCTATAGCTGGAAAAACTCACCATTGACCTTCAGTGTCTGGCTGCCAGGTGTGCTTTCTGCATCATTATGTCTGCAGCTTTCAGCATACTGCTGAGCAGGGCACACCAAACTGGGCCAGTATTTTAAGACTGGCTTCCCAGGGTTAAAAAGAGTGTGTGTAATCTCAGTACTCCATGGAGTAGGAGGCATTGCACTGGTCCTCTCTTGAAATTTCTCAGGGGAGCATCCTTAACTGATAAGTAACCATGTTTCCCACTTCCTTTGGGAAGGCTGTCAAAACTGCCTGCATCTTTTACTTCTAAAGGTGATGGCTTTGGCCTTACTGTCTGTGCAGGGCAGGCTGGGATTTATAGTGGGGACCTGTATGTTCATGTACACTGCTTTTCCAATCCCCACACGACTTTCAGCTTGTTTGCTGTGATTTTTACCTTTTTTTCTAGGCTAAAATTATTTAGTACCAGCAGTCAGTTCCTCCAAGACCCTGATAAAAATGAATTTGATGTGGATTTTCTTTTATAGTAATTTTCAGCTTCCAGCAAGTTATAAACAGTTCAATAAATAATTGTGTTGACTTTGGAATCAGTCTCACATCTAGCCAAAATGTTGTACTGTACAAGGTCAGGTGGCTAACAGGGGTCCAAGTATGAGTTAGTGATGTAATATGCCCAGTTTTCTAAATAAAGATTTGTCAAACTAGCATTTTTCCTACAAGTCCATTTGATTGCAGGGGCTCCATGTGATTATTATGAAAGGTGGTTATTGAGCAGTAGGGTTTATAATCCTCAAGGTTGCTGTGTTTGCTTTTTTCAGACACTGGCAATGAGGCATTTCTCATTTGTGAAATATTTCCAAGTGTTCTGACTTACTGAAAACCAAACTAAAGCCTTGAGGGTTTCTTTGCCAGCTGATATAGAAGCTGCAGATGCAAGTTTCTTTGAGGATGTTTCATTATTATTATTTTTATTTTTTTTTAAGAGGTTATATTCAGGAGCTGCAGCCACTGTATTTTTCTTTGTTTCTTTTTTTTAACAGATCAAGGAGTGTGCAGATGAGCCTGTTGGCAAAGGCTTCTTGGTGTCCTGTTTGGTGGATCACAGAGGCAACATCACTGAGTATCAGTGCCATCAGTACATCACCAAAATGACAGCCATTATCTTCAGCGATTATCGGTTGATCTGTGGCTTTATGGATGACTGCAAGGCTGACATTAATCTCCTGAAATGTGGCAGCATTCGACCTGGAGAAAAGGTATCCAGAGAACATGTAGATTGCCAGTAGGCTTGTAAAAGTCATTCACTTAAAGGAACTTAGGCAGTGACTTTGCAGTAGTGTTATCGTGTTACATGGAGCTGAGACGATAGATGACATATCTCGCCTGTCTGTAAAGGGTGATGTCCTGCTTCTGCATAGTTTCTTTTTAATAATTACGCATTCGTTCCTCTCTGAGGGACTGCTAGTCAGAGATGACTTTGATTTGTCTTTCCTTACTGCACTGCAGGTGATCTGATAGGTAGCTGTCTCTTTGCTTACACTCTGTCAGGCATGTCTCAATACCATGGATCCAAACAATAGATATAAGCAGGCTTATAGATATATTGCTAGGCTTATTTCACAGTCTGGTTGGGTCTGACTCAGATGGGTTATCAGGGTGGTGTGGCCTATGCTGTAATTCTTTCTGCTTTCTCAGGCTGTAGTCGATAGACAGATCAAAAGCTTTCATCTGTTTGCTTGCCCTTTTCCCTGCCCACCTGAAAACTGTCGAAGGGCACATAGTACCCAGTGTCACGTTTTAGTAGTTCAGACTTACTAACACTGCATTAGTTTTACTAAATCAGTGTTCTTTTGCCTTATGAGACGTAAGCAGAAGTTGATGCAAAGAACACTTCAGTGACTAAATGTGGTCATTTTCAAGGCACTGTCATTCCCTGCCTTCTTCAGCTTAGCTAGTGCAGGCAGCAGTTATGCAGTGCTGTAAGAATGAGTGGCTGCTTCTACAGTAAGTTTTTAGTTTTAGGGCTAAAGTTAAAATTAACCTACCAACTTTTTAACAAGCCTTTTTAAATTATGGCTCTTAGGCTTTTAAGAACTAGTTTCTTAAATCAGCTATTAGTGGGATATTTAACAAAAATATACTTTTGGTTTAAAAAAAATTTTACTCCTTGGTTTGAGACATTTGCTGCTGGAAGCAGCTTTCCATCCACAGTGTGTTAATCGAAGTAACAGTGTACTCTAGAAGACTTAGTTGACCAACAGAAAGCACAAAAATAAGGACTTGCTTTCAGGAACAAAAGCAACCTTCGAAGTGGGAGGAATGTGCAGGCACCACAAGTTCAGAGTGATAACAGCTGAGTAACTTGCTTTCTCCATAAAGTAAAGGCTCTCTTTTAATACTGGGCAGAAGGACCTCATGAAATGAGAAATGGCTTTTAACAGTCAGTATAGAATCAGAAGTGTAATATGGGAGTCCTGAGTGTCAGGTGTGCATATTCCTGTGGCATGACCAAACGCGGTAAAGTTCTTACTGAAGGGTGCATTGGAATGGATTTTGTGAGCATAAGCCAAATTTCACATAGCAGAGCTGAAACCAGAGCCAGCAGGCTGGTGTGCCTCTTTGTGTGTAACCCACTAGGTTGGCTGCAGAAGTTAAGCTGGTTGAAGGGTGAGGGTGGCCAGGCTGGCCACAGACATAGGGTGTCTGGGAGAGGAAATGGATGCAACCTTTGGGTCACAGAGCTTCTGTGCAAAGTGAGTCACTAACCAAGCTTTTATGGGGGTTAGTGCAGTGTATGCATATTCCCCACTTTCTTTGTGCCCAACCCAGAATATTTTGCCTTGGTGCGTGAAAGCATTGCAGCCTGTCGTATGATGTCTTTTGTTATGCTGTCATCCATGGCACTTAGAGCAACTGAAGTATTTTATACTGCTATGGAAACAGCTATAAATGGCTATGCAAGTATTTCTTTTGTTGGTGTTCTGTTCTCTCCCTTTTCTGCTTTGTAGAAAACTAATTTACTCCCATCAGATGGTGGTTCAGGTTTTATTTCCATGCTATAGCTTCTGAGATTTGCCTGTAGAGAAGCAGTCATTACCTTTTTGTGTAACTGAATGTAACCGTGAATTTAATAAATAGGACCTGGACACCTGAGGAGGAAGACGGGGGAAGAGACTCATCTCTCTCCTTTTTTCGATGGAAATAAGCACTGCTAGACCACTAACTCCAGCCACACCAGGTGGCTAGTAGATTGCAGTGTGATAGCTTCATCATAGTGACTGGGATCAACTGGCATTTTTAAATGTAAAAGCACTTCAGTAGGTATTTTGGAATTACACTGCCTTTTGAAGCCCTTCTGCTAGCTAATAGTTTTCCTTTTCTATACTACCTTTTTTGGTTTAGCTTGCTTTCTCCTTCCTGATTAAGTTCTGTTCCTGCTGGCTTTGTTGCTTATGATGTGATGTTTTCTGTGCTTTTCCACATTTCTTGTTGGCTTTCTTCTCTCTAAAAGCAATAAAATTCAGCTTAGAAGTCTGAGTCTGGCTATAGACCTCATTTTGCTGCATATAGCAGAAAGACTGTAGATGTATAATTTGAAAATACTAAGTTTTGTAACATGCCTGTATTGTGGAGTTGTTGTGGGTTTCCAGTTAATGGAGAACTATTTAATATTAGCTTAATCAGCTTTCTGGTTGGCTGTTGTGCTTTGTAGTGAATTTGGTCTCCTGGTATTTAAAGCTTGCTTTGTCTTCGTGCAAAGGGATCTAATTTGAAGTTGGTAATTGCAATGGATGCTGCTCAGAATGAGCTGATTTCTGGTCCCAGCACTGGCCAGGATGGTATCAAACTGGGGGGTGGTGTGTAGTTACCCACTTACTGGGTTTAGCCATGATGTCCAAACTGCAGTAGATTATTTGCCATGATGAAGTGAATTGAATATCTGTTGTACTGCTTTACCAGATAATAGCATTTTTCAGATTCCAGGGAAAAAAAAAAAAAGTCACATTCGGACACCACTGTTTTCTTGCTTTAATTTCCACACTTAAGTGCTTTGAGTACAGTAAAAATGTCCCTAGTTACATGGAATTACTAGGCACAGGGGGAAATGAGTCTAAACGGGAAGAAATCGTAACATTCAGCTCAGTCTGTTTTCTTAGTGCAGTCCTACAGCAATGTCCTGTGAGCTGAACTACTGGGAATTTGCTAGTGTAAGAGCCATCCCCACAACCCTGGTGTCCAGGTTAGCCAGGTAGAGTGCCAAATGGAACCCTAATGGATCTGCTGGGTGGAGGTCGAGGGAGGGGATTCTCCCCCTCTGCTCCTCTCTGGGGAGACTCCCCTTGCAGTCCTGCCTCCAGATCTGGGGCAACAACACAAGAGGGACATGGAGCTGTTGGAGCGAGTCCAGGGGAGGCCATGGAGGTGCTGTGGGGGCTGTAGCAGCTCTGCTTGGAGCCAGGCTGAGAGAGCTGGGCTGTTTCAGACTGGAGAAGAGAAGGCTCCTTAAGGGGAGACCTTAGAGCAGCTCCAGTGCCTAAAGGGTCTACAAGAAACCTGGAGAGGGACTTTGGACAAGGGCCCTCAGATGCAGGACAAGGGCAAATGGCTTTAAACTGACAGAGGGGAGATTGAGATGAGATCTCGGGAAGAAGGTCTTCCCTGTGAGGGTGCTGAGGTGCTGGCACAGGTTGCCCAGAGATGCTGTGGCTGGCCCCTACCCGGCCGAGTTGAAAAAGGGGTTTGGAGCAACCTGGTCTAGTGGAAGGTGTCCCTGCTTATGGCAAGGTGTTGGAACTGGATGAGCTTTAAGGTTCCTTCCAACCCAAACCAGTCTGGGATTCTATGATTGTACAGTCTTAAATGCGGTTGGTGTTAGCCTATATTTAGAGCCTGAAAAGCTAATTTCTCTAAACCAACATTTGTAAAGTCCCATAGGGAATCTCTTTGGCCAGTAGCATAGCTGCCTTCATGCACTTGTGAAGAAATGAAAAGCCAGGACCTCCTTAAGATAGCTGAACTAGTTAGCACTAGCATTCAGAGACCTGATATGTCTGAAAACAAAGCCAGATTCAGTCAATAAGTTTCTTAAATAGTGTCAGGTGGGCACAGGAATACTAATGGTGTGGAAAGAAAATGTCACTGCTTGGAGATGGGAGGAAAGGGCAGGACAGGAGCCAGCTGTGTTGATGTGTGGGTGTTACTATTTCTATAAGGTCTGACATGTTTGAAAATTGCTGTAACACAGGGCAGCAGAGTAGCCAGTGCTGCAGGATGACCTACTAAAATGTAAAACCTGTATTTGCAGAGTAAGACAATAAATTGGTCATTTCATGGTGGGTCCCCGAAATGCAGTAGTAAACACTCAGCATCCAGCATATGGAAATCTGCTTTGATTACACTGTTAGAAGTACATTCCCTTTAATACATAGTATGACACTGACCAGGATTTGAGACCCACGCTGCAAGAAACCAGGAAACTTCTGGTTTTCCTAGCAGGAAAAGCTTGCCTAGTTCCCTTCTTGCTGGTGTGCAAGGGGAGGCTGCTGGTGAGGGTAGTCTTGGTCTGCCTTGCCTCCCAGCTGTAACCTCATTAGGCTGGAGGAAAAACCTGCCAGAGTATGTTGTTTTCAATCATCTGCACTTGCTAACTCCTCAGCTGTAACTACTGCCTGTGACTAACCACAAGGATTTGCAGAGCAGCGTTTGTGTTTGGCATGGTTATGGATAAATGGCAGTTTTAAGTATTGTGGTGATCATACTGCAAACCTCTGATTTCCTTTGGGTTGAATCCTAAAGGGACTGTTGATATATAATGATATTTCTTCAAAGATGCTCATGTCCAGCCAGCATGTGGAGTTGGCCAGTTCCCACTCAAAGACAAGATCAAACCAAAATACGGAGCTTTGGAGTGCATGGGTTTGGGATTTTTTTCCCTTTTTTAAGGGGGAAAACTACTTTTAGCACTTTTAAACCAGTTATACTTTTGGGTTGCGTTTACAATGCTGCAATCAGCCAATTCTGCTTGTGGTCCAAGTATAGCAGAGTTAAAACAGGAATTAAAAGCTGCCTCCCTGAGGAGACATGTTGGAACAAAAAGATTCAGAAGAATTGCCTGGCTTTGAATAGTCACAGTCATGTGTTATGGAGACTGCAACAGCAATGGACGAATCTACTTGACAGTGTGAACTGCCTACATGGTTACTGTGAATGCCAGGTTAACGGATTCAGGTGATGCAAATAAGCATCCCTTGTGTATGTCTCCAGGTAGTCCGATATAATTTTAGCAGCAACAACCTCTCTCAGCACAGCAGCGTAAATTAAAGTTGTTTTCACAGGAAAAAGTTTCAGAAGCCCTGAGAGATCTGTTCCAGATGAGTTCTTGTTTATTAGAGGAATCAGACCTTCTAGAGAGGTAAAGAGGGGATATGGTTCCCTTTCTAAACATGTAAAAAGGATGTAGGAAACTAAGCAGAGCTTTGATCAGCTTTGCCCTCTCTCTTCTGGACTTGCATACAAAGCACAGGCTCTGTGTACGTGTTGGCAGTCACTGCTTGTAGTCCAGAGTTGTCTTCGGGCTTGCAGGACACTGAATGTGGCGTACAGTGTTGGGCCAGAACCGCTTTCTCCAAGACTTCATCTGCTCTTGAAAGCTTTGAATTTTTTTAGTTAGCTTAATGGAAGAATTAGCACTGAGAAGCCAACACTGGTCAAAGCTCCTTTGTGACCTTTTTAGCATCACTCAATTACCACCACCCAAACTGAAGGCTTTTCTCAGCATGAAGGAGCTATGATTTTTGTCTCCCCCAAGAATGTTCTTAATGTGATGCTGTTGCCATGGTGCAGAGAGCTGTGTCGGGTTCAAGATAGCCTGACTGTTTTGGTAAACCGCTCTGAGCAGCATGACTAAGCAAGCAATGATGATCATATTAAAACAAACCCAGACCACTGGATGGGGGATTTCATGGTGACCATCAGCAGGATGATGCATAAAATGTGGAGATAGTACAGGTGTTAACTGTTGCCTCCTCTGAATGTAAGTGCAGTTTAGGCTGAACTTCTGGAAGCCTATGCGTAGACAGACTGTTACTTAATTTATGTGGTGCTTATCCATCATCACAGCCATCATCACAGCCCACTGGATTGTGTATGTGCTTGGTTACAGATAGTGTCTTGTTCTGCTCATGTAGGATGCCCACTCACAAGGAGAGGTGGTGGCATGCCTGGAAAAAGGCCTGGTGAAAGAGGCAGAGGAGACTGATCCTCGAATTCAGGTGTCTGAGCAGTGTAAGAAGGCAATTCTTCGTGTAGCTGAGCTCTCTTCGGATGACTTCCATTTGGATCGACATCTCTACTTCGCATGCCGAGATGATAGAGAACGATTTTGTGAAAATGTGAGTAGTTTCCTTTTGCATTCCCTTCTACAGTAATCCATTAAAAAGACCCACAAAACTCCACTGGAAGAAGAAAAGGAATGGTAGAGTGGAGCCTGAGCGAGGTGTAATACTGAGAACAGACATCCTGTAGCTGTCACGTTACAGTAAATCTGGTATTAAATTCACTCACCCAGCAGACAGTTGTTTCCAGTGGGTAAGTGAGCTGAATTGGCATAAACGGTTTAATGGGCATCAGAGCTGGTCTGGCAGGGAGTGGAAGGACTTGAAAGAGGAGGAGGAAGCAGCAAAGGTGACTGTTCCCTTCTGCGCTGGTAAGCTATTTCAAAAGGTTAAGCCTGCTCTGACTGCTTGCAGCATTCCGTATCTCTGGAGCTGGAAAGCTGCATTGTTCAGTCTGAATTAGTTTGTATCAGCTGAGCATCTTCTCACTAAAAAGGTGATGAACACAACTGTTGGGTTTTTTTTTTAATACAGTAAAATTAAAAAAAAAGTATCCCTGTCATTTGAAATGTTAACTTTAACATAATTTCTAGTTTAAACAGTATCTCTTAGGTGAAGTTTAACCTGCTTGTTAAGAGTTACAAGTCTTATCTTTAATGGTAAATGTTACTGTTCTGTTTCACAGACTCAGGCTGGGGAAGGCAGAGTCTACAAGTGCCTCTTTAATCACAAGTTTGAAGAATCGATGAGTGAAAAGGTAGGTATCTGTCTTGATGAGACAACTCTAAGACGGAAATCTTCAAATGATTCATCAGTCCAGGCTACATTATTCTTTTTTAGTATTGAGGAAAATCTGTCATCTTTGTGGTCGGGTGACTGCTTTAACAGATGGTTTGACTTTGATGTGTTTGTGTTTTCAGCTATGTGCTGCTGGCTTGAATTAATTGTATTCAAGTTATAGCCTTTAAAGTGAAGGATTTAAATAAATCAAAGCTTTTGGGTGGGTGATTTGCAAAGGTAGACATGGAGCTCAAGTAGTAGCACTGTAGTTGAGTGTTTAAAGTAGAAGTCACACTATGCTGGGGTAAGCCTTGGGTAAATGCTGTCATAACATACAGATTAGAAACAAAATGCCCAAATTCCTTAGCACAGGAAACAGTATGAGGTTCATTTCCTCCTCCCTCCCCCCCCCCGGCTATGAGTGACTGTGAAGCAGCAATTTCTGTAGGAAAGATGAACAGTTCAGTTGCTGATGTTTTTCCTAAGATGTGGTTTTCAACAACAAAAAAAGTTGTTCTGGAAAGCCAGTCCTGAAAACAGTTTGTATTCATGCAGGTGTTCTAGGAAAGCAGCAATGCTGTCAGTGATTTCAGAAGCACCATCATGGTGTTTGGGATTATGTGGAATTATATCATCTGTCTGAAAGGATATAAATATGGATATCTGTAAAGCTGTCCTCAGAGAAGCTCCGCTGAAGGAGCCAGTTGCAGAGGCCTGGAGGCATCAGACTAATTTCCTTTTCTTTAAATGCCTTGGCTATCTGAAAGCTTGGTTCCAATTAACAAATTCAAAACTGAGAGTCATCCCTGAAGACTCAAAACAAAGCTTGAATTTATACAAGCTGATATTACTGAAATGGACTGTTCTTTTTGATTAACCTGGTTATGGTTGTACAGCGACAGGTGGTAGCTTTTGGGGGGTATTTTCCATGACCAGCTAAGGTAGGAATGCGCAATATTGAGAGGTTAAATGAAGCTGTGGCAGAGGTGGAGTTTGCAGAGCAGGAGGAAGATAAAATCTGGTTCTCACTCTTGTAGCTGCCAAGGTTGAACCATCTGCAGAGTGACTAGTTTTGTAGAAGCTGTTACCCAGTAAAATGTCCCTCCTTGCTGATGGTGTCGGATGCTGCAGACATATGTAGCCAGCAATAGCTGCCTGATGGGTGGCTTGCTCTGTGTAATCTCTGGTGTACACAACCTTTCCCTGCTGTGGGGGATGAGGTATCTGCGAGCCTGTGTCTCCCTCTGTCAGGAGCTTTAAGTCTGTCTAGTCGTAAGAGCTCAGTCATGGCACAGAGATGGGAGTGTGAAGGAGGGGATGGGAATATCTTGGGGTAGGGCTTTTGAGGTCCTGTAGTAGGTATGGGAAAGAGGGGGAGAAAAGTCAAAAACCTGATGTAAGGAACTGCAGAATGCTTTATAGGTCTTCTTTGATCCTTGTGCCACAGTTGCGTCCTGCTCTTCTCACCCTACACATGCACAGTTTTCCTTCCTTTCAAATAGGCCATGAAGGGACAAATTTGCTTGAGCTATTCTGAATTATCTGCCACCCTCAGATTTAATTTTCATGTAATTTAAACCAAAAGCTACTAATCATAGCGGGCATTTTTTGGGATGAAATTTAGAGGGTTGTTCTTGCAGCTGCTGGGCTTGGGTTTGGGCACAGTGCATCCTTGTGACCCTCACCATTTGTGGAAAATTGCTAGAAATTCCCATGGTTAGGCCGTTTTATCTACTGTCATCTGTTGGGCACGTTGCAGAACAAATCCAAAGAACATGCTAGTTTGTAAATGTGACTGGAAAAAGTTGTTTCTTGAGGGCGTAGGGTGAGCATGTACCACAGCTGGGATAAACATCAGTGACTGATCCTAGTTCCTGAGAATGAGTCATGCTCATGGCCAGAGCTCTCCTAGATTGCTGGATGAATGTGCAGTTTCAAGAAGAGCTCTGCAGAGAGCTACTGCCTTTAAAACTCTTGATCTGTTGACCTCAGCATGCATTGTTTCTATGAGACAAATGAAATTTAACTGCAGTCCAGCTTAAATGTGTGAATTTTAAAGCAACTTGAAAAAAGCAGTAGGTCTTGGCTCTCTGCCACCACATGGAAGCTCATCTAGCCATACCAATGTATCTCCTGCAGTGTCGTGATGCGCTGACGACCCGCCAGAAGCTGATTGCCCAAGACTACAAAGTCAGTTACTCGCTGGCAAAGTCCTGTAAAAGTGATCTGAAGAAGTACCGCTGTAACGTGGAGAACCTGCCCCGGTCTCGGGAAGCCAGGCTTTCCTACCTGTTGATGTGCTTGGAGTCTGCAGTGCACAGAGGTAAGTGGAGGTCAATCAAGAGATGTGTAACTCGCTGGGACCTGAATTTTGAAAGTTACTCCTGGACCTTCAGCCTCAACATCTAATTATAGTCTCCAAGTAATCTCCAAACTCTGGTT